TGTAGTAGACCAAGGGTGTATTACCCTGTAGCCCCAAGATGGCTTTGGATGTGGCCCAACACTAATTCATAAACTTTCTTAAAACATTGCGAGATTTTTTTGTGATTTTTTTTGTTTTTGTTTTTGTTTTTCTTTTCTTTTCTTTTCTTTTTTTTTTTTTTAGCTCATAAGTTATCCTTAGTGTTACTGTATTTTATATGTGGCCCAAGAAAATTTTTCTTCTTCCAGTGTGGCCCAGGAAAGCCAAAAGATTAGACACCTCTAGAGTAGACTGAAGAAACTTCTTTCACTTTACAAATATTTATTGAGAGTCTACTACATTGAAAGTATTATGCTAGCTGCAGAGGGAAGATATGTGGTGCTTACTTCAATATTAGATCATTTAAAAAAATATTTGACTATTAAGAAAGTTGTTGGCCTGGACAACCTAGCGAAACCCCCATGCCTACAAAGAATATAAAGATTAGCTGAGCATGGTGGTGCAGGACTGTGATCCCAGCTACTCGGGAGGCTGAGGCAGAAGAGTCACATGAGCCCAGGCAGGCTGACGCTACAGTGAGTGGTGATTGCGCCTGCACTTCAGCCTGGGTAGCAGAGGGAGAACCTGATGAAAGAGGGAAAGGAAGCGAAGGGGAGGGAAGGGGAGGGGAAAAGGAAAGAAAGAAAGAAAGAAAGAAAGAAGGAAAGAAAGAAAGAAAGAAAGAAAGAAAGAGAGAGAGAGAGAGAGAAAGAAAGAAAGACAGAAAGAAAGAAAGAAAGAAAGAAAAAGAAAAAGAAAGAAAGAAAGGAGAGAGGAAGGAAGGAAGGAGAAAGAGAAAAGAAAGAAAGAAAGAAAGAAAAGAGAGAGGAAGGAAGGAAGGAAGGAGAAAGAAAGAGAAAGAATGAAAGAGACAGAAAGAAAGAAAAGAAAGAGAGAAAAAGAAAGAAAGAGAAAGAAAGAAAGAAAAGAAAGAGAGAGAAAGAAAGAAGAGAGAGAGGAAGGAAGGAAGGAAGGAAGGGAGGGAGGGAGGGAGGGAAGGAGGGAAGGAAAGTTTTTACAATCAGGTGTTGACATGTGTGTGTCCCAGACACCTAGAGGGATTTCTCTGATGAACTTCCTGCATAGTCAGAGACAGGAATGAGGATTTCTAAACTTACAGATGCTCTTACAGACATGGTCTCCCTGATCTCCATAAACTTTAGCCAGCAATTCAGGTGGAAACAGAAATAATATCTACAGTCCTGTTGCTTATAATGGCAGTATATTAAGAACGGAAGTATTGGAAACTAACATATTTCACATCAGTTTCATTTTTCATCTAACTCTGTGTCTTCTTCAAGGTAATTAAGCTTCCTTATGCCTTAGGCTCTTTACATATGAGGCTAAATAAGAGTCATTCTCTCACAGTTGTTACAAATATTAAATTAGTGTACAAAAACCTGTAAGCACAGCAACTGACATGAAAATAAACCAATGATGAATATAGAAAAATAAAATATTTTAGTTGGAAAAACAGATAAGGAAAATTGTTATGTTCTATAATTTAAGCATTTGTAGAGTGTAATGCAATAACATTTCATCAAATCTGAATACTGTATATGCTTAGAAGTTTGTAAAATCACTATCAGTAGTGGGCACTAGTAGTAAGAGGGTAAAACAGTCAGTTGTGGTTGCGCATGCCTGTAATTCCAGCACTTTGGAAGGCTGAGGTGGGAAGATCACTTGAACACAGGAGTTTGAGACCAGCCTGAGCAACATAACAAGACTTCATCTCTACAAAAAATCAGAAAGTTAGCTGGGCTGGTGGCATGGCGCCTGTGGTCCCAGCTACTCAGGAGGCTGAGACGGGAGGTAGTTTGAGCCCACCCAGGAGTTTGAGGCTGCAGTTAGCCATGATTGGACCACAGCAACTCCAGCCTGGGTGACACAGCACGACCCTGTTTCCAAGGTAAAAACAAAATTCAAGAAGAAAAATAACAGTAACTTGCATGTATATTAAGCAAGCCTATTTTTAACTAATATAAGTATAGAATACTTAACTATTATTCTTCCTATTTCTTTTTTAATTTGGAATTTATCTATATACAGCAGAGAGTTCTGAGACATACATTAAAACCCTTAGAAGTTATTGAGATTCCAGTACATGCAATGGGTTTCTTTTGTAATAATTCTGCAAGAATTTACCAGTTTCTGTTATAGAATATCTATAACAGGCACATGGTAAAACTGTGGTTAACATGTATTCGGATTTACTCTTTTTAAATTCATGAACATGTTTATTGATAAGTTTTAGGAATAAAAGAAAATAATAAATTATTTTTGATATAGGACTCAAAATCTATTGCTACATGTTATATACATGAATGTTTTGAACCTTCTCATAGCTGTAAGACCTATTTGAAAATACTAATAACAAAATCTTTGCCCATTAATTATTAATTGAAAAGTTTCATCATTTTTATTTGAGGTAACATTATTTATAATATGCATTGCATTTGAATTGGCCAATAGGTCACTTGAAATAGAACCAATGACAGTTAACAAAAGCTAAATGATTAAATATTTTCTTCATTTTTAATATTGTCACTTTTTACCCTACTATAGCATTTACGATTAAAAACACACACACACAAAAACAAGAGAATCTCTTTCAGAAATTCTGAGAGTATAGTATGCAGAGTTTATGTTTCTGGGTTAGGAAATGTAAACTAACATCTGGTGTGTAGTGAAGACAGTGATTCCCTATATTTCAGACCAATTTCTTGATGGTTCTGTTTCTAGACATAGACCCTTTCTAGACAAAATTTCTTTTCAGTAAATGAAAGGATTTGCACTCCTTTTTCTACGCGCCTTTCATTTGTAGGGATTATCGTAGCATCCACCTCTGCCAATTTTTTTTTTTTTTTAGAAAGGGTCTTGCTCTGTTGCCCAGGCTGGAGTGCAGTGGCACGAACATGGCTCACTGTAGCTCTCAATCTCCTGGGCTCAAGCAATCTTCCTGCATCAGCCTCCTGAATAGCTGGTACTATGTGCACATGCCACCATGCCCAGCTAATTTTTGCATTTTTTTGTAGAGATGGGGTTTTGCCACGTTGCCCAGACTGGACTAGAACTCCTGAACTCAAGTGATCCACCCGCCTCAGCCCTGCAAAGTACTGGAATTACAGGTGTGAGCCCATGCACCTGGCCGGATACTGCTCTTTATTCATATAATATGCAAAGAAAATTACCCACCAAAATAAATGTGAATTAAGAGGAAAAAAGAGTTATTTTAAGACATAATTACAAATGGAAAAATATCACTTCCATGTTAAAAGGAAAGAATCCAGTTGAATGTATGAAAAACATACACATCTCTTTAAATTCATACAGAATGAAACCATCTGTCTAATGAAAATAAGAATTCATTCACAACAAAACTTAGCATTTCCAATGTTACCATTTTCTGTGATATGTTTTGTTCAAAGATATACATATTTTCAAATATATTTTTATTTTGAATAAGGAAGTCAAGATTAACAATATCCTAAGCATATTATAACAGTTACTGCTCTTAAGGCAAATAATGATGGAGTAAAGTATCATTTTGAAAATTGTTTAATGTCATAAATATGACTCTAACTAACTATAAAATACAGACTTTATTAAATACTCTATCTTTAGGTTTTAAATATTTTGAGGTATATCATTCTCCATATTAACTTTTATGATCTTCCCTAAACCTACAATTGTCAACTATTTGTTGCACTTAATCAAGTAAATATCATATAAAATTAATCTTAAATAGAAGCACAAGTCATGCTTTTAAAAACTTTTTTGTATTATTTGGAAAATGTTACTTTGAATTTTTCTTATATTAGGGAAAAAATCATGATATGTTATCTAGCTATATTTTAAACTAAAGATGCTTGTCTATCCATTATTATGTATATGGGTCAGAAATAATTAATATTAAAAATCATTTATTCTACCTTTCCAAAGATAGGAAATCATTTATTTTTGTTTCCTTCAGAAAAACCTGGATGGTAACTTCCAAAGAGTTTCAAAATATTGACCATTGTTCTGTATCTCATCAATTCAAAAGGTCATAACAAATGAAAGAAACCAACCTCTTTCTCTGAAAATGGGTGCCTAACATACAAAGACTGATAGACAATAAATGAATCCTTCAAAAAAAACTGGACTCAGCTATTGTTTATCTCAGAAAGAGATTAAAAATTTTATTTACCTAAGAAAAGAAATGTACACATATTGGAGAAATTTTCTGACATTGGTACATTGTAAATAGTTGTTTTATGTTATTAATAAATCTAGAGTTCTACAATAGAATCTAAACTTTATCCCATGACCTATTTTTTTTTAAAGTAGCACTTATTGCCAAGACAAAGAACAGAGCAACATTCTACATATTAATATTACCAATTTGTCAACTTACCAGTATATGGTGTTTTGATGCTTCTCGAAACACAGCCCAATTTTTTGTGTAGTGATAACATTAGTTCAAGAGAATAGCAAATATACATCTCTACAACAAACTATCATAACTTAACATTCAAAAATGAGAAAAGTCTTATATTTAACCATAACATTTCCATTTTACAACCTTCTCATAACTCTATTTTGAAGAGCTAACCTCTTAAGAGATAAAATTCATTCAGTAGACTGTTTAATAGACATTGACAATCTCATAGTCATTAAAAACGTGCAAGAAGACTATGATAACAAACACTCAGAGACCACTAAATTGATTTTTTTGAAGTTGAGCTGAACTCAAACTTCACTTACAGATGTAAATGTTCCAATATGCACTATAAGACAAAATTACAGAGACAATAATTGCTAGGTGTGATTTAAAATCCAACTTTGCAATTTAATTTTTCCATATTTGCCATGAGGCATTAAACCCTATGTTTGACTTATGACTCACAGATGAGAACATTGTATGTGTTCAAACACACGTATGTGTTTATTTTCTATTAAATAGTTTGATTTTATTTAACTATGTATGAAATTTCCTTACCTTTGGTTTTTGATGTTTCTCCTTCTCTGAAACATTGGATGGCTTTCTCTTGAGCATTTTGAATTCTGACTACTCCTAGTGAGTGCACTTTCTGCTGTTACAGAAACAACTGAAAATAGTCAGCAGTGTGCTGTCTAATGTACAGCATCAGATAAGGTTGAGCCCAGGGACCTGCCACTTCCTCCTTCGGTCAGGATATGACTTCAACATTTACATGGGTAATTTTTTTTTCTTACGGTAATTCTTTGGTAACTCTTTATCGTCCTGCTATATTCTATGAGGTATGTTCCAAATCTCATACTTAGATATGCCTGCAGTTACAAGAGCCGTAAGGATTTCAAAACAAAACTCATTATATAAAAGCAAAAATTTACAATGTATTCCATGGGTAGAAAAAAGAAAAATCAGAGACAATAACTGAAATAAAACTTGAGATGTTGGCTTTCTATTATTAAAAAAAAAAATAAAAGAATACTCAAGGTAGTCAAGTTTACATATATATATATATATATATATATATATACACACACACACATACACATTTTTTTTTTCTTTTTTTCTTTTTTTGATACAGAGTCTCGCTCTGTCACCCAGGCTGGAGTGCAGGAGCATGATCTTGGCTCACCGCAACCTCCACCTCCCGGATTCAAGCGAGTCTCCTGCCTCAGCCTCCCGAGTAGCTGAAATTACAGGCACGTGCCACCATGCCTGGCTAATTTTTTGTATTTTTAGTAGAGATGGGGTTTCACCATGTTAGCCAAGATGGATCTCCTGACCTCGTGATTCGCCCACCTCAGCCTCCCAAAGTGCTGGGATTACAGGCATGATATATTTCTAAATAAACACTGTTAGAAGATGAAATAAATAAAAACTGTTAGACGACAAAATAAGTTAGACCTTAAACAATATTAATCCTACTTGAAGCATGTATGCATATATTTTAAAATATGGATTAGACCCATTCTAAATATAAATGGGAACCTGACTCTAAAAGTAAATGTTTATGCATATGTTACTTTTCTAATGTATTAAGATGTTGTAAAGTCCTGGTTAACAAAGAGATCAATTAAACAGAACCCCCAGTTAACCATATGTCTTTGTGCTACAAACGATGCCATATACTGATAATTGCTGTCCTGGTGATGAGTCAATGGATCAATGGTTTCTTCAAATGAAACGCCCAGAGCCTCTATTGAATAGGCCCAGTAGAGCTAATATGACTTACTAAGAGTTTCTTCATGGTTTTAAACTGTTTATTATCATGAAAAAAGCAAAATACCCAGAAGTAAAAGGAAGAAGTTCAAGCTTTATTGTTAACTAGGGATTTACCAAAGGGAGACTTGCAAAATATATGAAACTCTGGTTCTATTTGAGCAACCCGGATTAAGAAAATATACCTAGATTTCTGTTTATAAATCCTCTGAATTGAAAAGCAGTAGTGCCGTATTCTTAATCAGCAGCTTTTCCACTGACTTTGTTTCTCAGACTTCCCGCACACTTCTAAGCCCCACTCCCTGAGGCCCAAATTTTACTAATTCATTTAACAAATGAGATTCAAATTTCACTAATTCATTTAATAAATATTAAATTGATTGTCTATTATGTGCTATCTGACAATATTTCAAACCTCTTGACTAGCTAAAAACAATCTGTTTTTGTTCTATAACAGAATTGAAAGAATATACTTTTCAAGATTATGGTTAATGTGCCTATTATTTTATTACCAGATAATAAAAGCAGACTTTTAATTTTGAGAATTATTGAGCTAGTGTTTTCAAATTCTGACACAGACAGAGAACACTGGAAAACCTGAGAATGCTGAGGTTGGGTAATTCCCTAGAAATACATCTCTTAGACTTTCAGTTAGGGCTTGGGTTAAGAAAGTAGGCTAGGCAGATCTTTTGTGTCATCTCTTAAGAAATTGAAAGTCATAAAAAATACATTTTTTAAGTGAACCTGTTGCACCCTCAACACCCTCTTTTCTTCATCTATGGATAAAAATTAATTATGGAGTTGAATCAATAACAAAATGGCAATGATAATGCTTGTACTTACTACATGGTAGAGTTTTGTTGATAATAAAATGAAATATCAATAAAGGACATACTTATTAGATGATTCATCATTACAGTAATGTTTTGTGTCAAAAAATGTTTGTGAACTCTAAATAGGCATGATGTTTCAAACAGTTTGGGGCGGTGCTTGCTGTAGGTTATATTTCTCCAGTGTTTCTATAATACAATGCTAAAGAATAGAGAACACTTACATTTATGAGACCCATGTCTGGACTAGATTGAGGTTTTTAAAAGTATTATACTCCAGAAAAAAAAAAAAAAAAAAAAAATTTTTATATATATCCATTTATGGATCTCTAGGCACTTCACCGTCTTTAACATTACAAGAAATACTTAAAATGTAAACAAAATAAGCATTTTCCTTCAAGTACAGGTGGAAAAGGAATTTTCCAATCATTCTTTCACTCAAGAAAAATGTTTTCTGGGGGTTAAAAGACAGATTTGACATTTGAGGTCCCATTCATTACCTATGTGAAACTTCTTGATCCCCAAAAAGATCAAGTGACAAGGTGGTAAATGTTTTCATCAATTATCTACTATTTTATAGAATTTGGAGACACCAAGATAGTTAGTGAGTGACACAGTGATCCAGCAAGCTCAAAAGTCACAGATGGACAGAACAAGAATGAAGTAGAGTCAGTACTGAGCACACCTAACTCCTGACCATGTTTAAACCACTGGGAAACCTGTTGCTTAACATGTGTTCTGAAACAGGGAAATTGCAAAAGCACAGTCTTGGTGCTTTACAATACCTTAATGGTCTTACATCCCAGACAGAATGGAACTTTGTGTACAATCTCTGTGTCACGAATCATGAGTAAAAATTTTAAAGAAATTGCAGTTGAATGACAAAGATTGAGGTGTATTTTTCAGGAAAGTAAGGTGAGCCATAAAAGGATTGTTTCAGCAATCCAACAAATATTTTATTTAGTGTATTGCTAAAACACAAATCATAAAATTCGAAGCATAGGTAGAAGGAAACTAGAGATCATGGGACATTCAAAGTGATGTCCTCGATTCTGAGACATTGAGGATCTCCATCTACATCTCTCTGCCTTCCACCATCAGGTTGAAGAATACAATTAGATAGTAGTTTGGATTAATCCTACTCTACATTTGTTTTTTAGGACATGTACACTTGTTCAATGGATGAAGGGTTTTCAAATCAAGTCTTTTAGAATGAGACTAGATTATCTGCATTGCTCTAACAGTTAAAACTTCTCTAACCTGTAGAGTTGGTTGGGCACAATCTTATGTATGCCTCCATGTATTACTGGAACAACCATGACCAAGGGATATTTTATTAACTCTAACTGAAAATCCTCCTGACTATACCTCAAGTGCTTTGTTACAGGAGGACAACAGAGAGACAAATTTCAAGAATTTGAAAATAAGCAAAATAAGGTTGTCATCACAGAGCCCAACTCTGAAATTAACATTTAATATAAGAATAATCATTTTATAGAAAAAAAGAACTGTATTCCATTCAAACCTGTAGAATTTACTCATCTATGATTAAGAAAAGGAGTCATTCATACAAGTAACTTAACCTTGATAAATCCTCTCTTCTTTTGGGCCTCCTCAGAGCAGGCTTCTTTCTATAGTACAGGGAAGAGAATTGCATTCAAAGTTGAGTGGGGATATTGTGTTCCTACCTGTTTGCGGCTTCATGGAAGTGGAGATCCTACAACATATTAAAAAAACTGTTTCTTTCTAAGGGTTTCCTGAAATAAGCACACACTGGCATCTGATGATGTTCTGTGCAATTCTGTATTTAATAATTCCAATGATGGTGCCAAGCTCTATAGAGGGGTCTTGGTGGTGTACTCTCCTCTAGTTATCTAGCTTATTCTTACCATAGGTGGATTAAACATCTCAACACCTCCTTGTTTGGATTTGGGAATTGAAGAGAAATGATGGAATGGATATTCCCCCTGGCCTATGGGAGGGGTGAAGGAAGTGGGGGGGATAGTTGCTTCCTTGTGAATCTCCTATATTTCGTAACTCTCTAAAGTTATTTACTCATTCTCTCTCTGGAGTTCCTGTTTACTGATTCCTTTCTCTAAGGGACCCAGCCCCTACCCAGCACTTGAAATCCCTTCTAATGTGTTACTAATTGAAAAGCTGTACAGTCACTTTTGGCCGGGCGTGGTGGCTCAAGCCTGTAATCCCAGCACTTTGGGAGGCCGAGACGGGCAGATCACGCGGTCAGGAGATCCAGACCACCCTGGCTAACAAGTGAAATCCCGTCTCTACTAAAAATACAAAAAAAAAAAAATTAGCCGGGCGAGGTGGCGGGTGCCTGTAATCCCAGCTACTCCAGAGGCTGAGGCAGGAGAATGGCGGGAACCCGGGAGGCGGAGCTTGCAGTGAGCTGAGATCCGGCCACTGCGCTCCAGCCTGGGCGACAGAGCGAGACTTCGTCTCAAAAAAAAAAAAAAAAAGAAAAAAAGAAAAAAGAACAAAAAGAAAAGCTGTACAGTCACTTTTCTGCTTCTCCTGGTGACCTGCTCCAGTAAGTGACAAGCTCATGTTTTGGGGAGATTAGGGGAAGATAAAATTCTGATTCTGTTAACAGGAAGTGGCAAGAAGATGGGAGCTACTGAGGTGTGCTGTTTCCAACAAGATGTGAAATCAAGCATATCTATCACAAAGACTAATTTCTTCTAAAAACTGGCCTCAAGTCTACATGAGAAATTAATATTTCACCTGTTAATTTCTCCTTGTAAGACCTTGCCTGAGTTTCATTGCAGAGTTCCGAAAAAGTCAACTAACAACGATGAGGTGATACCCAAATAACTTCTAAATAATTAGTGAGTTTGGGGAGAATCTGAATTAATTTTACCTCAAACAGAAAAAGGACAATAACACAGACAAGTACTGGAAGTATCCATTCAAGTTGGTGAGTTAAAGAAAAAGAGAGCTTAGTCAACTTTGAGTATCTTAATTCTCCAGACAAGATAATCTATTGCATGGAGATTAACACATCATGCC